CGCTGCGCCACCGCTCCCCCCGGTTCGGACCACCCCTCACGGGAGTCACTGACATTTGGAACACAGGCCTGGCGCTGAGTTAATAAATTACCCGGGTTGCTGTGGGGGTCTTAGTTATAAGAAACGTAGCAACCGCGAGCGTGAGTCACCGCGTGTGAATTCGAAACCCAACAACGCCTCTCAATACCCCCCCATAATAAGCCAAGGGTCTGCAGCATCGCGTAACATAAATAAATGATACTCGCATACCACTGTGAGGTTCAGCATGGGGCTGTGGCGCCGGCTGATCGGCAGCGTGTTCGCCGCTTGCTGCAGAAGTTCACGGTTCGATATCCAGCGGCCGCCCGGATTAATACTGCGGGTGAACTAACCGGAGTCACACTCTCACCCGCCATCTGCTGCTTCACAGCGGGACGTTAAAGATCCAGTTGCGTCATTTGTAAGAGGAAGACATTGTGTGCCGAAGTCAAGGTCCAAGTTTGGCAATCTTTCAAAAAACATTACTGGCAAATTACACAATTGGAATATATACGCTGCATAGCAATCATCGCCCCCCCCCCACAATGCAAAAAAACTTGGCAGGACTCTCCGGAAAAAAATAATGAGACTCAATGAGGCTTTTTTTACATAAACAATTGTTACGTAATAATAAACATCATTAAGGTATTCACTGTACTAAAAACTCAACATGTTTGTCAATAACACTGTGGTCTTAAAAGGAAAAAAAACACATTAAACGGGCGACATTTCGGGAAATTATTATGTGTATGTGTTGTTAGTTTAAGCACAACACATAACTATGCACTGGTCCCGTGTGCTCAGAGTATCATACACTTTGCGGGGCCTCTCTGTGGTCTATGCGAAGTAATGCTTTGTTTGAGTCTAGCGCGCACCAGTTTGGGATGAAGATGATCATCATCATCATCATTGGCAATTGCCTATCCACTTGTTGGATGAAGTCCTCCCCTCGGACAATGGCGCACTAGACAAATATATTATGGTATATAGGATGGCAATTATGATGACGGTGATGATGCTTGCACAGGCTGTTGGGACAATTGAGTTGTTAGCGAGCGCCTTTTAAGGAGGGCACGGCACATAATGGAGCGATGTGGTTAGCACCACGCTTGGACCAGCTTGTGTCTGACGTTCTACACACCGCAGCAGGTACTCGTTTAAGGCCGAATCGGCCTAGGTGAGGGGCCCAGCACCGGTTCACGAACCTGGGAACCAAACTCGGGTCGCCGGGTTCCGAAACAAGTGCGCTACCCACGACTCTACCACAGACAAACAGGTCCCTGCAGGGTGGGCTGGTAGGACAAGTCTCTGCGCTGTCTATTGCTGATTTTACACTCAACAGCACGAGATTTCACTTCGTTAAAGTATTGAAAGGGGACGGACGGACGGACACATTAATCTATTGCAGGCTGGTACACTCAGTTTACAACTTCGTTCCTACCAGTAAAATCCCCCGTGTAGCCTACTCAGCGTATTGGGGCAAGTGCTGTCAGCGAGCACCTATGAAGGCAAGAACGGCAAACGATGGGGGTGGGTGGCCAGCACCACGCCCGGCCGCCTTGACCTGCCCAGTGACGATGTTTATGCACCGCACCAGGTACTCGTTGAAGGCTGATTCGACCTAGGGGAGGTCCAGGACAAAGACACCCGTGTAGTCGTAAACATAATTTTGGGGCAAGTGCTGTTAGCGAGTACCTATGAAGGCTGGCACGGCACGCGATAACGGTGGGTGACCAAAACCACGCCACGCCTCCTTTGTCTTCCCAGTGCTGATGTTTTACACACGGCACCAGGTATTCATTTAAAGCTGAGTCGAACATGGGGAGGCCCAGGAGATGTTCGAATATTCGCCACTGTAATTGGTTGTGAGAGGGAATGGAACTTCGGTTGCCGGGCTTGGAACGCAATGCTCCAACCACAACACTACCGCTTCCCAAAATACAAAGACAAAAACAGAGACAAAGATCCCCCGTATAGCCTTAACAGACTGTTGAGGCAAGTGCTGTTACAGAGCACCTATGAAGGCCGGCACGGCACACGAGGCGATGGGTGGCCAGCACCACGCGCAGTCGCCTTTGTCTCCTTAGCGGCAATGTTTATACACCACACCGGTACTCATTTGAGTCGACCTAGGGGAGGCCCAGGACCGGTTCAGATAATTGCCACTGGTGTTGGGCCGTGAGCGGGAATCGAACCCGGAGATGGCCGGGTTCGTAACGCAGCGTAGCGCTAATCGCTACATTACCGCTCTCCAAAAGACACACACAAACTCGCATGCCATTTAATGGCAAAGAATTCGAGGAATGAGCGATTGGGAAGCCAAACGGAAATAGCAGCCCTGACTCAAACACGAGGCGAGACGTCTCCACTCCAAAATAGGAATTTTCATCCGCAGGGCTCACGCTCCACGCGTGGGAGATTTAAACGACGTCCAAAGACAGGAGGAGGGGGGGGTTACTCTGCTCGCTACTCCGCCCGACTGCTCTGCTCAGCTGTTCCGAGGTCTGGGATTTTTAGTGGTTATTGCCAATTGCCGACTGTTGCTGCGCACGCGTGGCGTTGTAATTTGTGTTGTCACAAAACAACACGTGGCGTGTCGTGCTGTGCGAGCATGTGCTGTTTAAGGACGTGCGCTGTGTATCTTGTTTAAAGCTCGCGTGTTGTGCGGCTTCTGTGCGTTGTGTCGTACGCATGTGTTGTGGCAACACGCTATGCCTCGTCTGTAATCGTAATAATAATGAGGAATTATGCATCAATTTGGGTGACCCGAGTCATTTGCTATCTTCAAGGACACTCCATCGTACTTAATCCTTGGTGAATGCAAAATTAAATACGAGCCACGGAGTGATTGTGGAACTTGTCACCCAAAACTATTGGCGAGCCACAGTCGCCTGCGCTCCTTCAACAGAGGAGCAACAGTAAAAACGACGTGAACTCGCTCTCTCTCTCTCTCTGCTGAAGCCCTCTCATCGTGGCCAGCAGCAGCACGCCTCGTCACTGCCATCAAGCTCCTCAACACTCTGTTACCGTGTACGCAAGCGTAAAGAGTTGGTCCAGATGTCTTGTGACCCCCCCCCCCCCCGTTCCTCCCATTGATATTATCTAATACTAAACCATTTTTATTTTTATTGTTTTATGTATATTTTATTATTTTATTGTTTGCCTTCAACGTGACTTTACCGAAAGAGCTAAGAATATGAATTACTGCAGTCACGAAAGCTTTAAATCAAAATTTAAACCATTTTTGTATAGCAATGGGCGTGGAAACAGAAATGAATAAGCGAACAAGAAAAACAATGTGAGGGATGGGGGTCACAAGACATCTGTATCACCATGTAGACTAGAATGAGATTGACAAATGGAAGGAAATATACGCATGAATGAATGTAAAGAATGAAAGGTGATTCCTTCCTACCGCCGCAAAAGTCGACAACGAACCGCTACGATGCCTCGACCTCGAACAATTCTCCTCTCACATCATTATAACACTGCTTGCATATATATATTTTTTTATTGTACTTGACTTGAGAGAGGGAGATTTTGGGCGTGTTTACGAGAGAGGGAGACAGAGAGTGGACGATCAGAATATGCATTTATACTGGAGCTCTAAAGCTCCTTTTCACAGATGCTCAAGTAACAAGACAAACTGCAAGATACTCTTGAGTGGATGGAATGAGAGAGGGCAATGAGAGGAGAGGATAGCGGACGGAGGAGACGCGCCCAGAGACGCGGCTTTCTGCGAGAGAGAATCCCAACATCACTGTCGAGTCCAACCCCATCTGTGATCTAATTACATCCCACGGTTAAAATCCATCCACGTGGCGACATCAGCTCAACAGCTGTGATCAGGCGCACGTGAGTGGTTGGTCGCGTGGTGGTGGGGTGGAGGAGATGGAGGGGTGTTTGGGGAGCTGTGGTCGGGCGGCTCTTTTACTTAATTAAATGTGGGATGAGCGGATGTGGTGAATCAGTGCGAGTTCACAATCTGTACCTCCGCTCAAACACTGATTCAGCCCGTGATTGTTTAACAAGCGCCCACGTGACGTGCAGAGGGGCTGATTCAGATCAAAACAAACATCTCGCGTGTGAGCGCGGTGTGGGGAGCGGTGGTGCAGCGGTTAGCGCGCCGCTCTATGAGTCCGGCGTCCGGAGTTCGATTCCCGCTCACGGCCAACACCAGTGACGATTATATGAGCCGGTTCAGGGCCTCCCCTAGGTCGACTCAGCCTCAAACGTGTAACTGGCAGGATGTGTAAACATCGCCACTCGGGAGACAAAGGAGGCCGAGCGTGGTGTTGGCCACCCACCCCTTCGTGTGCCGCGCCGGCCTTCATAGGCTTACAGCACTTGCCCCGACAGTCTGTTAAGGCTACACGGGGGAGATCTTTGTCTTTGTGCCTGGCACAAGCCGGGGTGGCGTATGCTTGTTTATTCATGATGAAATCACGGGGTGAGGATAACATTTCAATCCACTGCTGGATGAATGCATGTGCAAGCCGCTGCGATGTGAGAATGCACCTTCCGCCTGCCCGCACACTTCACGGATTGTATCCCTCCATCTACTGGAGTGGACGCGCCTCCTGGACGCTTTGTTTACTTATCTTGTAACTTAAATTATGTTATTTATGCTGAGTCACCGATACAGGAAGGCGAACCATCGAACAGAGCGGGTCACCGCATCGCGCGCTTTCAGATGCGCTTCTGCGGGCCGTCTGGAACGTTCTTCCTTCCGACATTAGGAAGCCACTAGAGCGCTATGCACACTTTTGAATAATCTAGATTATAAACTCAGTTCTTTAGAACGGCTTGTTGTGTTTAGTGTGTTGTCCTTCCCACGCACCTACGTACGGTGCGAAAGAAGTTCAACATACAGCAAGTACATGCTTACACAACGAACGCACGCTAAACATTACCGTCTCAAGGCATAGCCGGTACAGTCCACATGTACTGTACGTAGATATATACTGCACCACAACTCGCCATCGTGGAAAAAGTGGACTCCAGTTTTAATGAAAAAATTGTGAAGAACAATAAATTAGTTTCTTTATATAAAAAAACGTATTCAAAATGTAACAAAAAAGAACAACAACAGCGATTCGATCTTGCCAGGAAATAAGTTAAACACGTTCACATTGAATCACGCGGTGAAAAATGCACAATTCTGGTATAATCAGCACCCCCCCCCTCCCCCCGTGCTAGCCACGGCTCCCATCACTCGCGAGCCTTCACATTCCGGCTCTGTGAGAGAGACAGGCAAGGTCGCATTAACTTCCTCGAGTGTGGAGAGACTGGGGCATAAGAGGGCTGGTGAGTAGGGGGGGCTGGTGATTAGGGGGGGCTGGTGAGTAGGGGGGGGCTGGTGAGTAGGGGGGGGCTGGTGAGTAGGGGGGCGAGTTGAAAATCGGAGGTGGGGGGGCTGTGGGTATGAGACCGGAGCCGTATACTTAGTACCACACGATGTTGCCCCTCACGACAACAATACCACAACAACTGATTGTGCTAACCATGGAAGTAATATTTGTGCACAAAACAGACATTTTACCATTTCCTGAGAGTTTGGCGTCCGCAGTATTCGTCAACAAAGTCCTTTATGCATCAACACATTTATATACTTTAACAAAATTGACAAAACTCACACTTACACACAAAGATCCCCAGTATAGCCTTAACAGACTGTAGGGGCAAGTGCTGTTTGTGAGCACCTATGGAAGCTGGCACCGAGGGTGTGGGTGGCGAGCACGACGCCCGGCCGCCTTTGTCTCCCGAGTGGCGATGTTTACTACACAACGCACCAGATACTCATTTGAGGGGAGGGCCAGGACCGGTTCAGATAATCGTCACTGGTGTTGGTCGCTGGGTTTGTAGCGCAGTGCTTAACCCGCGACACTATCGATCCACATACACACACGCAGACACACACACACACGTGCTGTCATTCGTACCTCCTGTAATCGCGACGCGTACATCGTAAACTGTCACGAAACCGGCCTCGTTCTGTCTCAACGTGTCCCTGTAATACCCCCGCCGATTATTAATCTGAACTGCCCAGTTTCTCAATCAAGCCACGGGATCAACGGTTGTGCAAAAACTGTGAAACAGCTCACAGTCACTACCCACCACTGCCCTCACTTGGGGCAGCTACCACAGAGGCGATCCCAGCTGTACGACAACAAAACAATGTAAAAGTAAAAAAAATAAAGAACCAGATCCTCGCGTTGGCGGATGCGACCTCTCCGTCAGATATTTGGCTAAATTTACACTCAAGGTCTTTCCAGTCGCCAACAAAGGAGCGGAACCACGTCTCGGGTGGTTTCGTCTCGACGCGGAGCTGGCCGGCAAGAGCGAGCCACCGCAGACTCGCGCCAGAGTGTGAGCAGTGCCCCCATCACAAAGTCCGCTCCTCAACGTTTCCCTACACGAACTGCAGGATCAATTATAAATAATATATAACACTAACATGGAAACACTTTGCTCGTGGCTCCAGTTTCAAGGGCCGGCGAAGTCCGTCTCTGGGGTTTTACAATCTCAGGCTACTCGTGCCGGTGGAGTCGTTGATGTTTGGAACTCGAAGGCAAAGTGCGATGACGATCGTGGTGATGATGCTGCACCAGACCGGTTTCTCCTGGGAAGCTGAGCTCGGACTGCAAGCGTCCTGTCCGCTGGAGAAAGTGCTGGCGGCGGCACCACGGCCGACGCGTTCCGGTTCCTCTACGGATCCGAGACTGCGAAACCGCGGGGATGAATTCGTGACCTCCAACAGCCCGGAAGTGCCCGCGAGCCGCCAAAACATCCGAGTCCACGGACATCAAAAGCCAGCTGCCGCGTGCCAGCTCGTCAGCTCGTCAGCAGGACGAGACGGGAGGGACGGGGCTGAGCACGGGAAGACTTCCGGGCGAGAAGCTGAACACGGAGCAGGGGGACGACGGAGCCACGGGGGTCCCGGGAAGGGCGCGGGGGGTCGACCCGGAAGCGTCGTCGCCGTCGCCGCCGCCGCCGCCGCCGCCGCAGTCGGCCGTCCCCGCGTCCTCCCGGGGCGTCGCGGCCAGGAGCTGCGCCTCGAACTGCAGCAGCTGCCCCATGAAGCCCAGGTTGGGCGACACGACGCTGCGTCGACCCTTGAGGAAGGCGAAAGCTTCCTCCAGGCGCATGCGGCTCCGCCACATGAGGTAGGCGAGGCAGATGGTGGCGGAGCGAGACACCCCGGCCTGGCAGAAGACGAGGACGCGGCCTCCGCGATGCCGCTCCGACTCTGTAGCGAGGAGAATGGAGGGGGGGGGGGGGTGAGCAAGGTGGTGCCTCACCGAGCTTGCCAATTGTGGCAACTACTGAGCAGATTTAAGCAACCTGTCCAACACGTCCACCCTCAACCCGAACCGCTCCTCCTCATCCCCAACCCCGCATAATCCTTACCCCCTGTCAACCCAAACCACACCATACCTGATCACTCGTCCCCACCCTCAGCATACTGCTTACCTCTAAACCCCAACATCTTTCACCTCCTAATCCCTCTTCATCAAAGTCTTACCGCTAACACCTCTCCTCACATTCTCTGTTCTCACCATTACACCCCCCCCCCCCCCAGCCTCCGGTTCCTCACCCCTACCTGTACCCTCCCCGCCCTCACTCACCCACCAGCCCCCCCCCCCCCACACGCCCCAACTCTCTCACTAATCCCTCTTCATGAAAATCTCACCGCTAATAACCCCCCCCCAACCACTCCCGGTTTCTCACCTATAACTCCCCGATCCCACTCACCCACTAACCCTCCCCCCCCCCCAGACACCACCCCCACCCTCCACCCCGCGTCGCTCACCTATGAACTGGATGGCGCTGCGGAACCAGACGGCGATGTCTGCTGCGGGTGAGTCGGCCACGGGCACGGAGAGGTAGCGCATGACGGCGGCGGGGCCCACGCGCTCCGCCTCGCGGCCCGTCACGTCCAGCAGGGCCGTGACGCCCAGCGTGCGCAGGGCGCCGTGCTGCGACGAGTGCAGGGCGCTGCCCAGCAGCAGGAAGGGGCGCAGCTCGACGGGACCGCCCTACGCGCGTGGGGGCCAGGAGGAGGAGGAAGAGAAGCAGACGCGCCGACGTTATTAAGAAGGATTTATGAAGCGGGGAAGAAGGGTCGTTGCCCGACACGTCGACCATCGTATTTTTTTGTCCCCCCCCCCCCGCCATTTGACGGTGTTGTTATTGATGAAAGTGTTGAGTTGTTGTGTTGTTTGGGCATCCCTGGCAAGGCAGCAGCAGCAGCGCCAAATAATGTTGTTTAATCATCCAACAGCGGATTGAGAATGGAGCTGTGCACGTGGAACGATGTCATTCCGGTAACAAAGATACCGCCCCCCGTATAGCCTTAACAGACTGTTGGGGCAAGTGCTGTTGTCGAGCAGCACAAAGACTAAGATACCCCCCCCCCACCGTATAGCCTTAACAGACTGTTGGGGCAAGTGCTGTTGTCGAGCAGCACAAAGACTAAGATACCCGTATAGCCTTAACAGACTGTTGGGGCAAGTGCTGTTGTCGAGCAGCAGCTTTGATAGGCGTTTCGGCACACGAGGGGCCAACACTGGGTAAGGGGCACACACACTGAGGGTGTGTGGGTGTGGGGGGCTCACCTGGTCGTACAGCGGTGTGACTCCGTGCCCCCCGCGGGGAGTACAGGTGTTGGGGGAGCCGGGCAGCTCGGGCGGCGCGGCCGAGAGGCGGCAGAGCTCGGGGTAGGCCGCGTGGAAGGAAGAGAACCCCCCTGTTCACGAACACACACGCACACACATTAATACATACGTCCGTTCGGTCATACATCAAAACATGTACATGGCCCTCAATATCTTATCACGTGGATTAAATAGACAAAGTTCCATACTCATGTTAAGAAATATCCCATACACACCACACCAGGAACTCATTTAAGGCCGATTCACCCTTGGGGAGAGTGGGGGGGGGGGCTCAGGACCGGTTCAGGTATTCGTCACCGATGTTGGCCCGAGCGCGAATCGAACTCGGTTGGGAGAGTCAGACTCGTAACGCAGTGCGCTGACCACACAAAGATTCACCCCACCTCCCCATATCGCATCAACAGACTGTTGGGGGCAAGTGCTGTGTTTGCGAGCCCCTTATGAAGGCCGGGAAGAGCACACATGTCCTTTTGTCCCCCCCCCCCGTGCTGATGTTTTACACGCAGCGCCACACGCACACATCACAACACAGCGCCACACACCACAACACAGCATCACACACACACACACCACAACACACACACAACACACCGCCACACACACAAGACAATACAGCGCCATACACAACACAGCGCCACACACACACACACCATAACGCCACACACAACACAGCGCCACACACCACAACACAGCGCCACACAGACACACCACACAACACAGCGCCACACACACAAGACAATACAGCGCCATACACAACACAGCGCCACACACAACACAGCGCCACACACACACACCGCACACCACAACGCCACACACCACAGCGCCACACACCACAACACAGCGCCACACACCACAACACAGCGCCACACACACACCACAACGCCACACACACACACCACACACACACACCACACCACCACCACCACGGTCCTCACCCGCCAGGAAGACGAGCGGCACGCGCGGCGCGTGCTGGCGCAGCGCGAGCGCCGCCGCCCGCGCGGTGCTCTCCCCGCTGAGCGACTCGAAGCTCGGCGACGCCTCGTCCACGAGCACGAGGGAGGCCACGCGGCCCGCGAGCAGGCGGGCCCTCGCCTCGGAGCAGGGCACCGCTCTCTCCAGGGTCATCCCCGCCGCGCCGCTTCGCCTCCTCTCGAGCGCGCCCCAGCGCACGCACACGGAGCCGCGCACCCGCGCCGCGCCGAACGCCAGGAACGCGCGGCAGTCGAGGACGAGGCACGAAGATTGCGCGAGGTCGATGTCGACCTCGTCGTTGTCGTCCGCCGCCGCCGCCGCCGCGTCGCCGGCGCTCGAAATCGGCATCAGCTCCCGCAGTTCGCGAACTCCGATGCTGGGTACTTCCATCGTCACCATGCTCTCCTCGTTCGCGGCTCTCCTCGTTGAAGCCGTCGCTCTTTTTGAGCGTTGACGCTTGGGCGAATTGGTTGAGTTGTCGGTGACGGCTCCACGGCTCGGGATCTCCAGTTTATATTCTCTGCGAGGGTGACGAGGCGCTCCGTCACGAGCCGGGGCAACTCCCTCTCGACGTTTCCTGTCAACAAGCCCCTGCGGGTCTGGGGTTCAGACGGGCCCCCCCCGCCCCCGGTGTGGTGTGCGTGGAGGGTGGGGAGTGGATGTGGTGGTGATGGGGTGGGGGGCACGGCACTCTGCAGGAAAAGCCTCTGAACGCCCACGCAGCAGCGCACGCGGTGACTGCGAGCGCCGCGCCCCGTCCACGCGACCGCAAACTCCGAACCGAACTCTCTCCCTCGTCTCTCCTTCTCGCCACGCTTCCTTCTTCACGCTTCGCCGTTCTGCTCCCCGCCACAGTCTTTCCATTGTGCCCCCCATTTAACTCCCCCCCCCCCACCACTTCCCTCGTCCTCCCACGCCGCCACCACTGTTCACGTTTGACCGACCGTGGTCACAAAGCGACGGAACACGTGCTCGTAAACAAGGAGGACAACAACAACAGTGGCGGCGGCGGCGAGAAGTGGCAGATTACGCACGAACGGAGCGCACGTGCCGTTGTGGTTGCTCGTTCGGTCGGGGCGCGTCTGGCGTGTCGATGTATGTGTGGGTGCGAATGGTCGTGCAAGTGTGAGATTATGCGCGTGTGCGGGTTTGTCCAATGGGCACGTCACGTGGGCTGAATAGTGCACCTAGCCTGGCGTGAAAGGAAACCACTGCTGCTTCGTGGCGAATGGCGGTTGTTGTTGTCTACAGGGGGTGTATGGAGTGCGTGGGTATATGTGGTGTGTGTATGTCTGTGGAGTGTGCATGTAGTGTGTGTGGTGAATGTAGTATGTGTGCTGTACCGTCGTGTATGTGTATATATAATGTATGAAGTGTGTGTTTGGTGTGTACGTGGGGTGTGTGTAGTATGACAGGTGATGCATCTGCCAGTCATTTCAGTCAACCTATGGCACCTGGCTCTGTCCCCTGACCTCCTGCCAGCGGGCGTTCGACACTTCACGTGGACTTAAAGTGCTCATAGCCTGGCACAAGCGCCGTGGTGGCGTCACCGCCACTTAGTGGCGAATTCCGCTTGTTTTATGTAGAGTGATATACGGTGTGTGTGTGTGTGCTTAGTGTATGTATGGAGTGTGTATGATGGCGCGCGCGCGTGTCTATGTGTGGTGTGTAAGTGGGCACCGTGTCCCGTGAGATTCAAGAAGTCAGAACCCTCGCCCTGCTATTAGTCCGAAAAGGGATCGACATTACTTTCACTTACACCGAACGAGACGCAATGGATATTGGAACTTTGGGTTCGTTGACAGCGGCTTGGGGGTGGGGGGGGGTAACCCTGCGTCACACGCGCGTCTGACGTTCGGAGTCAGAAATGTGGGTTGGTTGATTTCCAAGCGAATCAATGGTAACAGCTCTGGGGGGTTTTCTTGGGTGACGACAATGGCGTGATACAGGCGGGACCCCACTGCATTGAAAATTTACATGGTATTTAAAACTAAAAGCCCCTACTCACGTCCGTCCGTCCCCCCTAAACCCACCAATCTCAATCTTTGAAGACTCTCCCACGAATGGCCGGCCAGATGAGCTTACGACATTCCATGTTTCGTCAGCCCCGAGGTTCATTAGGTTGTGATTCATGATCAAAGCAGTGGGGGTATCCATACGTACAGTAATATCCGTTTAAAGCTATACTGCTACACTGATGTGAGCCGCGGCCCGGGTGAGGCCGCGGCTAACATCAGTGGCGATTATCTGAACCGGGCGGGTGCCTCCCCCCTAGGTCAACTCAGCTTTAAGTGGGTACCAGGAGCGCGAAGCATTAATGGCCGGCTGTCGTGGGTTCTGGCTCACAGCACTCGCCCAGACAATCTGTTAAAGGCTATACGGGTGATCTTTGTCCGTATGTACCCTATGTGTATGCATACGTGTGTGTACAGTGAGGGAAAAAAGGATTTGATCCCCTGCTGATTTTGTACGTTTGCCCACTGACAAAGAAATGATCAGTCTATAATTTTAATGGTATGTTTATTTGAACAGTGAGAGACAGAATAACAACAACAAAATCCAGAAAAACGCATGTCAAACATGTTATACATTGATTTGCATTTTAATGAGGGAAATAAGTATTTGACCCCTCTGCAAAACATGACTTAGTACTTGGTGGCAAAACCCCTGTTGGCAATCACAGAGGTCAGACGTTTCTTGTAGTTGGCCACCAGGTTTGCACACATCTCAGGAGGGATTTTGTCCTACTCCTCTTTGCAGATCTTCTCCAAGTCATTAAAGTTTCGAGGCTGACGTTTAGCAACTCGAACCTTCAGCTCCCTCCACAGATTTTCTATGGGATTAAGGTCTGGAGACTGGCTAGGCCACTCCAGGACCTTAATGTGCTTCTTCTTGAAACCACTGCTTTGTTGCCTTGGCCTTGTGTTTTGGGTCATTGTCATGCTGGAATACTCATCCACGACCCATTTTCAATGCCCTGTCTGAGGGAAGAAGGTTCTCACCCAAGATTTGACAGTACATGGCACCGTCCATCGTCCTTTTGATGCGGTGAAGTTGTCCTGTTCCCTTAGCAGAAAAACACCCCCAAAGCATGTTTCCACCTCCATGTTTGACGGTGGGGATGGTGTTCTTGGGGTCATAGGCAGCATTCCTCCTCCTCCAAACACAGCGAGTTGAGTTGATGCCAAAGAGCTCCATTTTGGTATCATCTGACCACAACACTTTCACCCAGTTGTCCTCTGAATCATTCAGATGTTCATTGGCAAACTTCAGACGGGCATGTATATGTGCTTTCTTGAGCAGGGGGACCTTGCGGGTGCTGCAGGATTTCAGTCCTTCACGGCGTAGTGTGTTACCAATTGTTTTCTTGGTGACTATGGTCCCAGCTGCCTTGAGATCATTGACAAGATCCTCCCGTGTAGTTCTGGGCTGATTCCTCACCGTTCTCATGATCATTGCAACTCCACGAGGTGAGAGCTTGCATGGAGCCCCAGGCCGAGGGAGATTGACAGTTATTTTTTGTTTCTTCCATTTGGGAATAATCGCACAACTGTTGTCACCTTCTCACCAAGCTGCTTGGCAATGGTCTTGTAGCCCATTCCAACCTTGTGTAGGTCTACAATCTTGTCCCTGACATCCTTGGAGAGCTCTTTGGTCTTCACCATGGTGGAGAGTTTGGAATCTGATTGATTCATTGCTTCTGTGGACAGGTGTCTTTTATACAGGTAACAAGCTGAGATTAGGAGCACTCCCTTTAAGAGTGTGCTCCTAATCTCAGCTCGTTACCTGTATAAAAGACACCTGGGAGCCAGAAATCTTTCTGATTGAGAGGGGATCAAATACTTATTTCCCTCACTAAAATGCAAATCAATTTATAACATTTTTGACATGCGTTTTTCTGGATTTTTTTGTTGTTATTCTGTCTCTCACTGTTCAAATAAACCTACCATTAAAATTACAGACTGATCATTTCTTTGTCAGTGGGCAAACGTACAAAATCAGCAGGGGATCAAATACTTTTTTCCCTCACTGTATGTCTGGTACTCCGTGTTCCCGACTGTTCCGTGATCTGACTGCTGGCGCCCTTCAACGCTTCCTGCTCGGAGTGACTCAGCGAGGCAGCTCGCACCCTACACACGCGCGCGCACCCTACACACGCGCGCGCACCCTACACACACACGCGGGCACCCTACACACACGCGCGCACCCTACACACACGCGCGCACCCTACACACACGCTAGGGCACCCTACACACACGCACGCACCCTACACACACGCTAGCGCACCCTACACACACGCACGCACCCTACACACACGCACGCACCCTACACACGCGCGCACCCTACATACACGCTAGGGCACCCTACACACACGCACGCACCCTACACACACGCTAGGGCACCCTACACACACGCACGCACCCTACACACACGCACGCACCCTACACACACGCGTGCACTAACTACCGATACAAAGATCACCCGTATAGCCTTAGGCTGTTGGGGAGAAAAAAAAACTTGTTAGCGAGCACCGATGAAGGCGAACACGGCATATGACAGGGGGCGGGTGACCAGAACCACGTCCGACCGCCTTTGTCTCCCCAGTTTAATAATTTACTTTCAGGCCGAGTCGCCACGAATGTTCGCCGCGACCGGATAGTGCGCTCACCATTACGACACCGCCCCCCACACACTTGATCAGATATACAGGGTGGCCCAAAAGTCAGGACACATGGTGTTACATTGTTTTTCGTAAATAATATTGGGTTATTTAATTTATTAACACATCTAAATGACTTCAATTAACGTGAATGCACTATGAATTATCTTCTGCATTGAAATTAGAACTTACATGTGTAAACTCCTACAGGTGTAAACTCCTACAGGTGTAAACTCCTACAGGTGTAAACACTTAAAGGTGTAAACTCCTACAGGTGTAAACTCCTACAGGTGTAATCTCCTACATGTGTAAACTCCTACAGGTGTAATCTCCCTACAGGTGTAAACTCCTACAGGTGTAAACTCCTACAGGTGTAAACTCCTACACGTGTAATCTCCTACAGGTGTAAACTCTTACAGGTGTAAACTCCTACAGGTGTAAACTCCTACAGGTGTAACTCCTACAGGTGTAAACTCCTACAGGTGTAAACTCTTACAGGTGTAAACTCCTACAGGTGTAAACTCTTACAGGTGTAAACTCCTACAGGTGTAAACTCTGAAGATGTATCAATTATGTTTTGTTTAAATTCATTCAGGGTTCTTTGTCGAGATTTGTAAGCGACGGATTTGAGGTGGCCCCAACAGGAATAAGAGAAAAATAGATGTGAAAAATAATAGATACTTTATTAACTTAAAGTATAAACAATTACAATATTTAATGCTGGTGTTACACACAGCCAATCCCGTATACACATAATACACACACACCGCATCTCCGATTTGCACGATTGGCTATGTACGGTACGAAAGAAGTTCAACATACATTACACATACCATTACCCCGCATACACGTACACACCGTTCATATTCTATAGACACCAAAATACATATAATGTTACACTCGGACCACATACACCCACAACACATACACACCACATACTTACTAAACAAACGATATGCATAATAGGTGTCGTGTATAGTATATGCATGCACCTCACAAGCGTACATACACATCATACACAAAGTTCTCCCATAGAGCCTGAACAGACTGTGGGGGCAAGTGCTGTTAGCGAGCACCTATGAAGGTGAGGTGGCCAGCACCATTCCCGGCCGCCTTTGTCTCCCCAGT